GCTCACTGCGGCTGCTGGCCGCTCACGCTGGCTGCTGGCTACATACGGTAGCCCATGGCAACCCACTGCCACAGGGGCTGCAGCCCACGCTGTCGCTGGCAACTCACGGCAGCCCAGCTCCAGGTTGAGCTTTTGTTCAGCATCTTAGCTGTGGAGGGCAGTGTCACTGGCCCTCATATGTGGGATCCGAACCAGGGCCCTCTGGTGTCCCAAGCCAGTTCTTAACCATTGCGCCACTCGGCCGGCCCCAAAATTATACACATTTTAAGAAAGGAAAAAGCTGTGTTAAAATTGTAATACTCAACATATGCTGATAACAAAAGATGAATACAAATCACGTTTGACTTCTGCAATTATAAGAGGTGTTCAAAGTGGTTAACATCAGCGAAATTTTAATATAGTTTTTCCCTTTCTTAAAATGTGTATACATTTTTTGGCGCCCTCTGTATTAAGTATGATCTTTTAAGACAAGAATTACGAATGTGTTAATATACTTTAAAATGATATAAATGTGTGTTACAAGTGAAATATTAACTGCTGAATTTAAACACTCATGGCTCCCTTCTTCACAGTGTGTGAGCAGGCAGCTTTTCAAAACAGAAAGTCATTATCTTTAGAGAAAAGTAAGCAAATTATCTTTTCAAAACCAGTGTCAGGAGCATATAAAAGAGACTGATTTTCTGGGGTGGGGGGAGGGGGAGGGAAGACCTGAGCAAAGAAGCCTCAAAGAATTCCAAGCTCTTTGAAAACCATTTGATACACTTAGACGTGTACCTACGTTTCTCATTCCTTTGCTGCTGCTGTTTCCACCAATAGGTTCCTCCAAGGCTGCCTTCTTTCTTCACCCCAGAGAGTGAAAAATTTAGGATCTGTCCAGACTGAGACACATTTCTTTCCCTTTTCATTCAGAGGTGAATTTCTTTATTTGATGGGTGTGTTCCCAAACCCACATCAGTCTTCTTTTCACAAGATGTAAACAGGACACAGTCTGAAGCCAGAGACCATCACCACAGCTTAGAAAGAATATATTCAGCAGAATCCCAGATCACGTTTCTTTTTTTTCTATTTTTTTTTTTTTTAAGATTTTATTGGGGAATTGGGAAAGGGGAACAGTGTTGGGGGTTTGGGGAAAGGGAACAGTCCAGTTGTTGTTCTTCAATCTTAGTTGTGGAAGGAGCAGCTAACTCATCTCCAAGTTCAGTCGCCATCCGGCCGCCTGTCCACAGCTAGGGGCTGCTCAGCTCAAGGAGCTGAGTTCGATCTTAGTTGTGGGTGGGCGTAGCCCACCATCCCATACAGGAGTCGAACCAGAAATCTTGTTGTTAGGAGCACGTGCTCTCACCAGCTGAGCCATCCTGCCACCTGTTGGCAGCTCAGCAGCAGCTCGGCTCTGGCGCAGCTCACTGGCCCATGTGGGGATCGAACTCAGGGCCCTATTGCGCAGAGCTCACGCTCTTAACCAACTGACCCACTCGGCCAGGCCCTCCAGATTGCATTTCTAATGCAAATCTTTTAATAAAATATGTGCTCAAAACATTTGAAACTACTTTTCAAAAAAAAGTCCTAGGGCCGGCTGAGTGGCTCAGTTGGTTAAGAGCTCGCTCAAGAGTTTGAGCTCTGAGCAACAGTGGTTCGAGTCAGCCCGAGCTGAGCAGCCGCGGAG